TAAAACGAGCCCTTTAAAAGAAGTTTTTGGGAATAAGAAAGTATTTATAAGACCAAACTGTGAGGAGAATAATAAACTCTACCTGAAACAGTTTGGTTGGGATTAATTCATTTCTCCAAAGCTTACAGAACATGACTCAGCAGTTTCTCCCTGAGCTTTCAGCAGTAATTATTTTGAGATCAGAGAGATAATCTGGTCCTGCTTTATAATTAAATATTCCTTTGTTTTACCTGGAGATTTTAGACGTTACTGAGACTAACAAAGGGCGTCGGTCAGTAGTTAATAAATGCAAAAATTATCTAGAAATAAGTCAATATTTCTTAAATTAAGTGTATTTACTCTTAATTAAAGCAAATAAAGACGATTTGCCAATGGAATGAGTGTTTTTACTCTTAATATAAGAGAATTAAATAATATGCACTTGAAATAAGATAATAAAATAGTTTTTTCTCATTAGCAAAGTGACCGACAAAATGCACTTATTTTAAGAAGAAATGACTGATATAGATCAGTTATTTCCAGTGCATGTGTGTGTGTGTGTGTGTGTGTGTGTGTGTGTGTGTGTGTGTGTGGATGAACTGATTTGTTTTTTGATGAAGAGGCCAACCTGCCTCAGCATCTTAACCATCATCCAGACAGCCTCTGTATAAAACAGCAGCAGATTAGGTGGAGACTGATTGATTGACTTTATTAATCTCCCAGGGGAGAAATGTTCTCGTTATATCAGCTCAAAAAGTCAAAAAGAGAAGAAGGCGCCAAAGAAAACGGTGCATGGGATAAATGCACTATGTATAATGTGTCCACATATGACAGCTGGAGTCTTTTAAAAAATGTTTTAATAATAGGATAATTAGAGGGTTATTGGGTTTTTACATGGCTATTTATATAGATGGATATTTATAGATATAGTTATTGCACTGGGTATTAAAGCATATAAGGATATAGGTTATTAAACAGGGTATCAAATAGTAATTGCACTTTATACAAAGAGACTGAACAGCACACAGGGGGTCATCCAGAGAGGTTAGTAGCTGAGGACGTCCCAGAACTCATCCTCCTCAGCAGCCTTGGGGGGTGCCGTCCCATGTTAAGTCAGACCAGCATAGATACAGTCAATACAGATGCACAAGATGTCAGATTTGTTTATCTCTTTAGTTTTGGATGAAAAATAGACTTTAAACCCCTTCAACTAGCGAACATCGCTTTAGTCATATACAAAAAATAAACATTTACGCTTCAGAAAACACCAAAAAGTAAGAAATTAAATAGTTTTTTTGTACATGACTAAAGGGAGACCCGCCCGTCGAAGTAGTTTAAAGTGCGTTTTTCATACAAAACTAAAGGGATAAAGTAAAGCAGTGGTGGGAAATACCTTTGGTCCAACAGTTATTAGATGACTGAGGATGAATCGGATGAATCCGACCTGGACGTTCAGACGCAGGTCACATTTGAAAAGATCAGATTCATATCGGAGTCAGGACCACAGCGCCAAGCGGAAAAAATGGGATCTGTGTTGTTCAGACTGCCGTGAAAGGATCAGATCCAGGTCGCATGTAGGCAGGAAAATCGGATCTGGGTCACTTCAGGCCACGATGTGAACGTAGCCTAACAGCTGCAGGATAAAGGATCTCAGGAACAGCAATTTCCCACCCATGAACTAAAGGGATAAACGCTATTGACTATGGCTATGCTGGTCTGACAGAGGCTTTCCTCTGTTTCAGACATCCAACAGCATCATTTTTCAGGTGGTAAGTGGGGCCTTTGGGGGGTCTGGTGAACGTTTTAATGTGAGAGCATGCAGCTGCAGCCCAGAGGGAGGAGAAACATCTAACCCCCACCAACAGAAGGTCCTGCTGTCTTTCACTGATGTCCCATTGTTTAAACAGAAAAGCTGTGACTCCTCTAACATTAATAACGTCCTTTATTAAAAGTCTGACCGGATGCTGAGGCTGTGCTACTTTATTAGGTTCCACTTCTTCTGACAGCTTTATGACAACAAACACCCCCAGGAAAAATGAAAAGTTTCCTGTAGTTACCAGCAGTAGAGGCGGTGCAATAACGTCCTGAAAATGACTAAAAATTAGCATATTTACCCTTTGAATAGGTAAATAAGATGATTTGCCAACGGAATGAGCATTTTTACTCATTAAATAAGACAATTAGATAATATGCACTTGAAATAAGAGGCTGCAATTGTTTTTTTCTTATTGTAAATGTAAATTGTTGTGCTCCATTTGCAGTGTCTTACTTACCTCCTCCATAAAAGAAAAAAAAACGTATTTTAAGAAAAAATGACTGACTTAGATTTACATTTTTGCAGTGAGGTCCCATTTTTTGAGTTTTTAGTTGAAACACCTCCTGCAGCCTGATGCAGAAGTTGTCCTAAAACTTTTGCCTTGTGTCAGACTGATAGGCGGTCTCTGTAGAACCAGTGAAGCAACCCTAACCCAAACCAGCATCCAGTACCTGCAGTTGTGGCGGCAGCAGTGGAGACAGGCGGGTCTGGGAACAGAACCGTTGGTGGGTTCAGTAGAACCGCCGTGGCTTCATCCAGGTCCCCGGAACCTGACCCCACTGGGATCAGCTTCCTCCGGTTGTCACGGCTACCGCTGCGGATCACCTCCTCCTCTCGGAGACCCTCCACTGGAAAACAAAATGCTGGGAGTGATCATCCTTCAGGACGTGTTCAGGTTCTGACAGGTAGAAACTGTTCTGAAGTCTTTATAATTATTTTAACCATAATCTTCACTGCTTTGTAAAGTATCATGGTCAGGATAATCCAATGATTATCATTCACCTGCACCAGCAGAGCAGAGTCAAAAGAATAGCAGTGATGCAGCAATCTGCAATTTTACGACATGCTGGGACAGAACTGTGGTCCATTCAGACTGAGAGACAGTTTAAACCAAACAGGACATTTAAAGACCGTCGCAGTTTTATCCTTTCAAGAAACAGGCTGGATTTAAAAACAGCAGCGGAGGCTTCAGGAAACCCCGGATCTGAGGTTTGGTTTGTTCTATAAGGTGGTCCACCGCT